ATATCTTTTTCTTTTTTGAAATTTCTTGAATACTTTAGCATTAATTCATCTCTTTTCAGAATACCCTTAATTCCTTGGAACCCTTTTGCAACTCATAATTAGCCGTTTTCCGAAATTTTGAATTCACATTTTGAACTTTGAAATTAATTACTTATTTTTACAAAATTGTCTCAAAACTTCTTTTCTCTGCCAACATTTCTTTAAATTCACGTTCGGAATTAATCCCTTCCTTCGGAATTAATTATTATTTTCCCAAATTTTCAACAATTTTTTTTTTTAATTCCACCTCCTAATTCTTTTTCTATAATTCGAAGATATTCCAAAATTTCACGTAAATAAAATTTGAAATAAATTCAAATTTATTATTACTATTATTATTATTATTATTATTTTACCAATATTTTGAACAACGATTTTTGTAAATCTCTCCTTCGAATCCTTCAAAATTTTGTTCTACCCAAATTAATTTTGAATAAATAAAATTCCAATCAAAATAAATTTATTTATTCAATATTAATTCCCTACTTTCCAAAAAAAAAATAAAAAAAATCTTGGCGATTATCTTTATTTTTGAATTTATTGATAAATAAATAAGGGATTGCCCCCCCCACCTCCACATGCCACCACGCCAAACCAAGAACTCCCAACGTGCCGCCGCTGCCGCTGCCGCTGCTGCCGCCGCCACCGTCGCTGCTGCATCCTCCACACCCGTTCAGGCCACGTCCTCCACCCCCTCTTCCCCCAACATGGCCACATCCTCCATCAACATGTCTGACATCCGCACCGACTCAGTCGATAGCAACGCCCGCAACCTCGCAGGCGAACAACCACCAGCAAACACCGCCATCCCCGACCTCTCCGCCATCCTCCACGCACTCAACMCCCTCCGAACCTCCGTCACCGCCTCTCTCGACGACATAAAGGCCAACATGTCATCCGTAACCACGTCACCACGATCGAAGGGACCATCCCCTCCATCACGGTCGTCACCACCGCGCAAACCACTCCCTCCTCCACAACGCAAACCATTCCCTCCTCCACATCGCCAACCACTCCCTCCTCCAAAGCGCAAACCACTCCATCCTCCACAGCGCAAACCACTCCATCCTCCACAGCGCAAACCACTCCCTCCTCCACAGCCGCCTCCAGCTACACCCCCCCGCCGACCTCCTCCACTCCTACCACCTCTACCACCACATCCACCAACCCTTCAACCTCCACCACCGTCGCAATGGTAATAGTAGACCGTTTCTCTAAATACGCTATGTTTGTTCCCTTACCAGCAAAAGCGCATACTGAACTTGTCATTCAAAAATTTCAGATGCGATAGGTCACTGAATATGGGTTCCCTAAAACCATTGTGTCTGATCGAGATGTCAGGTTCACCAGTCTGCCATGGCAAAAGCTAATGGAAGCTTATGGCACACGGCTGGCCATGTCGTCAGGGAGGCATCCCAAAACGAATGGCCAGACTGAACAAATGAACCGTCTGTGCCAGCAGCTTTTGCGTATGTATATTAGACCCGATCAGATTGATTGGGACGATAACTTACCTAAAATTGCGAGTGCATATAACACTAGTGTCCACACTTCTACTGGACGAACCCCAAATGCACTTCACAAAGGGTGGAAACCTAAACGTCTCATTGATGTACTAAATCGGGACCAGTTCCTTAGGTTGCCCCTAGGGACCCGAGAATATGCAATTTTGTTTTCGGAGGACATTCAGAAAGTTAAAGATGGACATTCAGAAAGTTAAAGATAATCTAAGGAAAGCTCAACTACAGATGATTGAACAAGCCAACACGCACCGTCGACCGTCTACATTCAAAGAGGGTGATTTGGTTTGGGTAAAATCTAAAGAGTTTTCACTAGAAGAAGATGTGTCCCAGAAATTGCTACCTGTCTATTTTGGACCCTGGGAAGTTTTCAAGGTATTTGGAGATGCAGAGGGACCGTCTTATCGAGTTGATATTCCCCCCATCTCAAAACATATCTTGTCTTCCATGCGTCCAAATTGTTGCCTTACGTAGAAGGAAATGAGTTTCCACACAGACCCTCTAAGATTCCACCAGATATGGATGGCGGATACGAGGTTGACAGGATCATAGAGCATGGTTACTTCTCTACGGGAGGACATGAACGACCTCATAAGCAGTTCAAGGTACGTTTTAAAACTCGAGCACCATCTGAGGACAGATGGTTCAGTAAACGAGAACTACTTGAAACTGCTCCTGACATTGTCGCTGCTTATGAACGAGGGTTAAAGTCTTAAATATTTCTGCGGTGGAACTCGAAAATGGGCCGGTAGGAATGTAATAACCCTGTTCAGAAGTAGCCTGGGGCCCTGAACTCAGCCCCAGGCCACGCAGACCTGAGTAGGTCTGCGGTGGGCTGTGTGACCAAGACACGCCCAGGCCTGAGTCTGTCAAGCGTGGCTGTGTGACCGAATGCAGCACACAGGAAATTCAAGAATCAAAGTCAACTGTAAAGTCAAAGGTACCGCACCCAGGCCCTTGGTTGGATACACTCACTTGTTGTGCGCAGGTACCCGGACAGCATCCAGGCCGGAGGGAATTCGGTTTCAGGCCAATCTGGGCCCTCGTTCGCATCGAGATCTGGACAATCGAGGGATACAGCATCCGGGGTCCAGACCCCGCGTCAACACTACATAAGAATTGACTTCCTCGCGTTGACATTCATTCTGTCTTGCGTTGATGCTGACTTCACGCGTTGACTTCAACGCTGGCTCGACGCTGCGACGCTGGCATTGTGACTTGGTGAGGCGCTGCTAGTCCGGCATGGTGGCCGGCTTGCTCCTGTCTTCTTGGCATGCTGACGTGGCAGCTGCCATGGGCTATCGCTGATGTGGCTGCTGTCACGTGTATCATTGGCTGACGTGGCTGCTGCCACGTGTTCTATGGCTGGGACTACGTAATCGGCATTGCTGTTCTGTTTCGTCGTCACTTCAGGAGGAGATCAGGACTGTGGAGAGTTTGTGGATACGTACCTGGTTGTCTTCATGTCGACATTGCTCCAGTGCTGATGTGGGACTGATTGGACGTGCCACGTGGCACATTGGCTATTTCGGATACTCGTTCAGACTATTGATTATTGAGGTGGTAGTGAGGAGGGAGCCCGAAGCAGGAGTGGGCATTGTGCTTCCTCTCCTTTGTCTCATCTCCCTCCTCTCTCTTCGTTTGTGTATGATTACCTCACCTCATTCTGTCTGGTACGATTTGGACTATTGGTAATCATCAGCTGATGGCATTTATCTGGGCTTGCATTGTTGACAACTGTATTCACGTTCTCGATTCATTGCACTTCAATTTGCAAAGTTTTTTTTCGGCCATACCATTTCTTCTTCTCTGTTTTTCCAAATACAGTTGTCTTCTCCTTATATGGGGGACAATTTTTTTTTTCCCCAAAACCTATTTGCAATGAACCCAGATCGTGAAAACAGTTATCAACAACGCAAGTCCAGATGAATGTCAACAGCTGATGATTACCAATAATCAAGATCGTGTCCAGACAGAATGAGACGAGATAATCATACACAGACGAAGGAGAGAGGAGGGAGATTAGACAAAGGAGAGGAAACACAATGCCCACTCCTGCTTCAGGCTCCCTCCTCCAACACCACTTCAATAATCGACAGTCTGAACGAGTATCTGAAGTAACCTCAATGTGCCACGTGGCACGTCTAATTAGTCCCTCATCAGCACTGGAGCAATGTCAACATGAAGACAACCAGGTACGTATTCACGATCTCTCCACAGTCCTGATCTTCCTCTTCCTCGCAACCAGTGACCTCATCTAGACAGCGTGGACAATGCCACGTCATAAACAAGACAGGTGGCAATGCCACATCATCAATGAAGACCGATAGCAGCACCACGTAGACCAGGAGCAGCGCCACATTTACCAGGGGCAGCGCCACCTCAGCATGCCACGTAGACCAGAGGCAGCGCCACGTAGACCAGAGGCAGCGCCACTCAGCATGCCACGTAGACCATAGGTAGCGCCACATATACCAGAGGCAGCGCCACGTCAGCATGCCACGTAGACCATAGGCAGCGCCACATATACCAAAGGCAGCGCCACGTCAGCATGCCACGTAGACCTTAGGCAGCGCCACATCAGCATGCCTGGCGTACAATGCCAGCGTGCTGCCTCTCCCTCGTGTCGTCGTCCGCAGCTCTGATGCACAGCCAGCGTCTAGCCAGCGTCGCACTAGCATAATGCCAGCGTCAAGTCAAAGTCAAGCCAGCGTTGAACCAGCATAGCAAGACTGAATGCTGACCACCTCGAGGCCAGTCTTTAAGTAGCATTTGGCGAGGCTCTCTGGCCTCGGGTCTCCTTCCCTCAGTCGTCCAGATTGAGTCACAGCCGAAGGCCTGGATCGTACAGTTGCAGACTTTTCCCGTTGGACCTTATGCTGTCTCGGTACCTGCATACAAACAAATGTGTGTGCTTGACCGGCGGCCTGGACTGGGTACCTTTGGACTTTGACTGGTGGGGTCAAGGCAGTTGATAAAAGTCAACTGTCTCACGTCCAGGCCCTGAATGTTCGTGTGGTGTCTTTACCCCTGTTTTGGCCTGGGCTGAGGGCGGCCGAGTTGGCCCTCAGTCTTTCCACGAGACATATGGCATGGGTTATTGCATATTTTCTTCTCTCCCGCCTCACACTCGCTACCCATATTTATGCCCTACCCACAATGCTTCACCGCGTGTGCGCGCCCCCGTCAATTCCATTGAGTTTCACTCTTGCGAGCGTACTCCCCAGGCAGGACACTTAACGTGTTAGCTCCAGCACTGAATGGATCAAATCATCCAGCACTTAGTGTTTGAACCTTAGTAAATTTGAAGTTCGGCCATACCATTTCATAAAATGTCATGATCAAATTCAAAACAGGGTGAGGTTAAAGTGGGCAAAAAAAAAAAAAACAGTTCGCGTATGATGGCCAGGCACGTCTTTGCTTGCCACAATGCATGCGCACCTCTTCAGCTTTTGGACGTAGCTTGTCGCTGAGCTCATGAAGAAACTTCAATATCGCATCCGGCGACCTGGCCACCAAGGGCTGCACCATATAGTGTGCGAATGATGGAAATCCAAGCAGCTGCAATAAGGTAAGCAACAGGAATAAGGAAGAACAACAAAAATCAGCACAGGGACACATGTGAATGAACTAAGTTTCGCCTTTCAGGCCATTTTTTGACATGGCCTAAAAGATGTGCACTTTGTAGAACATGTTTGTCAACAAGACGTGACAATCACTCATATAGATAAAGATCGTCAAACACCTGTTTGTTGTACAACCAACCAATCATGTGTAAGGGCGCAATACTCTGTCAGTTCCTCAAGTAAGTTGCTAGTACATATAGAAAGTCTACAGCCAAGATAGGGCAAGAAATGTGCTAGAGGGAGTAACACTGCCAAATAACAAATTCTGCCACAAAATGAAACAATCGAAAATAAATGTGTCTGTTTCCGGTAAACAGTGGGGGAGACAGCAGGGATACGATCTGGGGCTCATGCAATATCTGTCAAATACTGCATTTGTGTGCGGGCGAGGAAGAAGTGACAGAATGTTACGTATGTTTGGCCTCTTCAGCTGGTTGGCAGTCGCTAGCAATGTTCTGGGCCGTTGAATTGCCATCAGTAGCTGAAGGGCTCTGGAGGACAGTGGGCCGGTGTTGCGAGAAAGCAGCAAGGGGTCGGTCACCTGACAACACTGCAACGGAAGTCTGAATGCAATAGATGTTTGTCCTAGCAACTGTAAGAAGTGCTGGTTCTTTCTTGTTCATTATTGTGATATCCTGTGAGCATCACATCAGTTTCTCCATCCATCATCACATACTTCTTTAATGTTTTGCTTTCGGCACTTATCCAAGTATAGGTCCCAAGCATAGACCAAGGCCTGTAAGACTTGGCACTGAGTGTGGAAGAGGAGGCAAGGAGTTGACTAACCTCAGCAAGCTCATGCCGGGTAGCAATAAGATTTTCCAAGACAGCCAAGTTCTTCTTCGGTGTGCTGTGTCCTGCGATGAATATATCCCTGCGCACCTGCAAGACAAAGATCAGATTTCGGAATTTTTTTGGGGCAGACGTGCCAGAGCAGGTGAGGATTCTACCGCCTGTTTTCCGTTGTGAAGACCCCAACCAGCAAGGGCAGAAAAAATGCAAACAGAGTATGATGATAACCCAACCAGATGAGAGCACGCGTACTATCTGCTTCATGTTCTGAAGCTTCTGCTCTTCAAGATCATATGCCCTTTCCGGCAAGGCTGGGCCGGCAACCGGCCGGTTCACTTCCCCCGGTCCACCCGGAGCCGGAACAGCCCAGGGGGGGTGAACCGGGAAACCAGTTTTTCAAAAAGATGCCCAATGCCCATTCTTTTTTTTTTTTTTTTTTTTTGGGCGGAATCAGATTGTGCTCGTCCAGAGCTGTTGAAATCCGCAATAAAATTTTGAATGTGCAAATTTTTTTGTTGGG